CGTCCCAGGAGGTGAGCCACATGGCACTGTTGCTGTGCGACGTGCATCCGCATTCGGACGCTTGCGCTTGTCATCTGCGTGTCTATATCTAATGATCGTCGGCCTATCCCATATCGTGCTTGGTTGGTGGGTCAGAGGCCTCATGGTATGTTGAACCTCCAAGATGGCCCAATGCGCCCAAGATATAGCCTCTGCCATACCTCCAAGAGGCCCCAAAACAGCCCGAGTGTAATTCGCCAAAACCCTTCAAACACTTCAGGGACATCAATGCTTTTGGCATTCTCGCCTTTTCGCGTCCGATGGGCCTCCTCTGGGACCTCAAGATGGCCCCACGATGGCCCACGAGAGCCCCAAGAGGGGCACACGAAGGCCCACGACGGCCCCATGATCGCCCAAGAGGCGCCCAAGAACGCCCCACGAGAGCACCGCGACGCCATTTTTTAGCATCCGAGGGGACGGTGATAATTCTTGGCGCTTCGCGTATCCCCACCAGCCCATCCAGAAACGATGACCGGGTGAGTTGGTCAATCAGGGACGCCTGGAAGCACGCGGTCGCACAGCTGTCTTGGAAGCGTCAAAACAGGGCGGGTCGTGCCTTGGGCCAAAGAGTACAGACCTTTGCGCAGTGAAGTTTAAGACAGAAATCAATGCAAGATGCGCCATAGTGCTCCCTTTGGTAAGCGTCTCTGGCGCAGGTTCCTGTATCTACGATCCGACGCCATCGGCGCGCATATTAGAGTCGCATCTCGGTGGACATCCTTGATCTTAACCCTTGCACTGATTTGTATCTTAAGCTCGCGTGCGTTTCGAAATTGCTCAGGTGCTGGTGCTGCTGCCTGTGCTGCTGATGATGCTGTTGCTGTCGCTGCTGTTGTTGATGCTTGTGCTAATGTTACTGGTGCTGGTGCTGGTGCTGCTGCTGGTGCTGCTGCTTGTGGTGCTCCTGCCTGCTGCTGGTGGTGCTGCTGCTGGGGCCATCTTTGGGGTAGGATGAGAAAGCTGATGAGGAGGATGAAGAACGGAGAAGGAGGACGAGGAAGAGGATGACGAGCAGGAACGTGGCACGGGGAGGATGAAGAGGAGGAAGGATGAGGCAATAATGGAGGAATGAAGGCCCGCTTATCACACGCGCAGCATGCGTAGAAGGTAATTCCAGGGGTGCTCGCCGCTGGTGTCTCGAAGGTAATTCCAGTGGTGCTCTCCGCTGGTGTCTCGAAGGTAATTCCAGTGGTGCTCTCCGCTGGTGTCTGGAAGCTTGTGGTAACACACGTGGCACGGAAACAAAACAAATACCCCAGTGCGACCCGACCTAGGAGTTGGATCATTTAGGAAAGCAACATATACATCTACACCGACAGCTACATTTACATCTACACCTGCATCTACATCTACATCAACACCAACAGCGAGACTCACGTCTACACCTAACACCTACATCGACACCTACATCTACATCGACATCTGCATCTACATTTACATTTACACCTACACTATGCTATGCTATGCTATGCTGCGCTATACTATGTTATGCTATGTTGGGCCATTATATGCTATGATAAGCTATGTTGTGATATGCTGCGCTACGCAATGCTATGCCATGCTGCGCTATGATATGCTATACAACGATATGATATGACGCGATATGATATGATATGCTGCGCTGTGCTATGATAAGACATGTTATGATATGCTATACTATGATGCGCTATGATATGTTATGATATGCTGAGTTATGCAATGCCATGCTATGTTATGCGGTGATTTGCTATGCTATGTTACGCTATGCTGCGATAGTGCTGTACTGCGCTATGCTGCGCTGCGCTATGTTGCGCTGCGCTAAGGTAGGCTAAGCGTTGTTAAGCTAAGCTAGGCTAGGCTAGGCTAAGCCAAGCCAAGCCAAGCCATGCCAAGCCAAGCTAGGCTAATCTGAGATAAGTTAAGCTAAGTTAAGCTAAGTACAGCTAAGCTCAGCCAGGTTAGATAACCCTACGCTGAGTTAAGCTAAGCTAAGCTAAGATTATATAAGCTAAGCTAAGCTAAGCTAAGCTGGGTGAACCCATGGGGCGCAACTTTCAACTGAGGGAACCGCGGGGCGGATGTCGGGGGAACCACCCGGGGCGGGGCCCACTGCCCGGCCCTTTAAGCACAGAGAGTAAGAACCCTTCTAGGCAGAGCCTAGGTAGGGAAACGAAATGGGGGGTAATAGGGGTAGGGGGAGGACGAGGGGGAGGAGGATGAGGATGAGGATGAGGATGTTTGAGCTCAACGCCCGACTCCTCTGCAGGCCTGCTTGTAGCAGGCTTACACTCGTGCCGCAATATAGGGACGTGCGATGAGATGAGGAGTCGGACTTAGGGGATATTATATTGTGGTGAGGGTTTCTTTGAAGCGTCGTAATGCCAGTTTGGCGGCATCGTGGAGCCATCTTGGGGTCCCCTTGGGTCCTTCGTGGGGCCCTCTTGGGGCTCATTTGGGGAGTATTGGAGCCCTCTTAGGGCTCTTTGGGGAGGTTTGGGAGGCCTCTTGGGGCCGCCTTGGGCCCCATGGCTAAAACAGAGGGGGTCGTCCAATTCCCGTCGCCCCCTCGGAGGCTCACAAATGCTGTCTTGGAGCCGTCTTGGGCCGTTCTTGGAGCGTTCTTGGCCGCTATAGGGGCCATCTTGGGGTCCTCTTGGGCCCCTCTTGGGGCTCTCTTGGGGCAACTTGGGGCCGTGTTGAGGGTGCCACAGCCCTTTGGAAGCGAAAAGACGATAATGACTGACACATTGATTTTCCCTAGGCTTTTAACATATTTTTGGTATCTTGGAGGGTGCCGTTGGAGGCTCGAAAGGCACTTGGATCCGTCTTGGGGCAGCCTGGAGGCCTCTTGGATGTGTGTCGGAGGCTATCTTGGGCCATCTTGAGCTATCTTGGGCCATTTTGATTGCCATCTTGCGCTCTCTGAGACCCTCTGGGAGCCATCTTGAGCCAAAAAGGACCCTCTAACCCCTCGGGACCGCGCCGTCCAGACCCAAGGTGGGGGAGGGTATATCAGGGAGGTTGGAATCAGAAACGCTCTAGACCACCGCCCAGAGGGCTGGTGGGATTGAGAGACCTCCTCTTTTTGAGCCATGGGGCCCAAGATGACCCCTCGAGGCATCCCATCCTCTCCCAAAGACCCTCCACCCTGCCCTTTGGCCCACGATGACTCCAAGAGAGCCCAAGATAGCCCAATATGACTTTCAAACTAGCTTAAGATAGCCAAGCATGGCTCAAGATAGCCTCCGGCAGCCCTCCGAAGCCTCAAGGCAACCTCAAGATGGTCCAATATAGCCGAGCATGGCTCTGACATTGAATAGCCTCCGACCACCATTAGCCGAGCATGCAAGATAGCCTCCAAGAGGCCTCAAGAAAACTGGCACTCAATTATGGATGGGTTGGTGGGGATACGCGAAGCGTCAAGAGTTGGCGCGCTCTGGGTGGAACTGCGGAGCTATTGCTGCAGCCGCGCGGGTCGCGACATGACTCCCCCCTGTTTCTGAAGGGATCGAGAACTCGTCCAGCCGTGTCCTCCCAACCTCCTGTGCTCCTCCAGCATGCCGCCCTCCTCCATGAAGATATATTCTCACCCCCGTCTGCCCTCCATCATAGTCCCCCTCCAAGACGTCCTAATTTGCTTTCTGTGGTGCCGCCCTCGGTGGGCTGCGCCAAGAGTGGCATGGATGATATATCCCAGCCTTGTTGCTCAAGCTAGTCTCGACGCTTCGCGTATCCCCACCAGCCCATCCATAAACGGTGCCCAGTCGAGTTGCCTCTCAGAGTCTTCTCGGATGTCACTTGGCAATTTTGTGGGAGCCTCTTGGAGCGTCTTCGGGGCCTCTTGGCGGTCCCGGGAACCTCTTGGAGCGTATTGGGGTCCTCGGGTGGCCTCTTGGGGCCTTGGGGGGGTTTCTTAGAAGCCGCATCGAGGGATCTTGGGCGCATCTTGGGGCCTTCTGGGCGCATCTTGGGGCCCTCTGGAGGCGCTCAGACGCCCACGGTCCAGGAAGCCCACCGGAAAGGGAAGAGGGAGGTTTGGAAGATGAAACGCTCCACACCACCAGCGCCCAGAGGACTGGCGTGATTTAGCTGACATCCCAGCCTTGTTGTTCAAGCTATTTATTCAGCAGCGCCGTGCGATCTCAGCGACCACACAGACTCAGACCAAGACTGACGACGATGGCGCCCAAGGGGCGGTCGGGTCGTGGTGGCGGGCGCGGTGCCTCCGGCGCCGCAGGGCGTGGGCGTGGCAGTGGACGGCGTGGCGGAGCGCCCGGATCGTCGGCCGACATCGACGCCAACGCTCCGGTGGCCGACGTGGATCAGTTTGGAGAATCTTTTGCACCAGAGTTCAACGGTGCCTACGTCTCCAGGAAGGAGAAAGCCATCGAGAAGATCTTGAGCCATCCGTACTTCAGCGGCCTGGCCCAGATGGAGCCACTGGCCATTGACCCTGCTGCTGAGCTCTCCGGACACATGGCGGTGTTCGACCAGACGGAGTTTGAGACCAGCATGACGTCGAACAAAACGTACACAGCTGCCTGCAATCTGTTCAGCATCAACATGTGGTACAAGGCTCAGGGTGATGTGCCCATCAACGAGGGGGCGGTGAAGCACTTGATGGATTTCTTCTTCAGCTCACCGGTGCGTGTGTTCCCGATGAACCTCGTCGTGGCTCACGAGGATAAGCCGAAGGATCACGCTGGGCGGCTCCAGTGTCTGTCGCCGATTGAGTTAGTTGACGCAATGTTATTCGCAGTGGAGAGGGATATCGACGCTCAGAAGTCTGATGAGGAGCTCAAGTCGTGGATGATTTGCTTCCGGACAGTGGCGTTCCAGTTCAAAAAGTTGCCATCCGTGGACGACAAATACTTCGAGGCGTTCAACTTGCGGGAGGCCCTCATGCACCAGGCGCAGCATCTGCAGCACACGGCCATCCAGAAGGTTACGTCGCTCATGGCGTTCGCGCATCGCAAGAACCAGACGACTGGGCGCCTCACCAACAAAGACCTGGCCAAGCTGTTCGAGGACCAGGCTACCTACGCCACGGGCTCAGAGAAGTTCACTGAGACGTTCATCAAGGCAGCTTCGACGGTGTGGGAGCGCCTTTTGACTCCGCCTGGGCCGCGCGCTGTCCTGATGGCGCTCGACGACGCTTATGGGTTGGCTAATCCTCTGAACTCAGTCTATGTGATGGAAGCCTTCGCCCAGAAAACTAAGAATGGTGTGATGTTGTTGTGGACCCTGCATGGCGTGCAGGATTGCTTGGATTGCACGCTCACGACGCCTGGCGAGCTGAACAACAGGGCGCTGACTGGCAAGAACGCGGGCGGCAAGGGCCTGATCGACCTCTTGATGTTCAAGAAGGAGTGCGGCGATTTCCTGATCCAGTGGATGGAGAGGAACCGCATTGACAAGGCGACCATGGAGTTGCTTCGCCCGGTGCTCATGATGAGGGATAGGAGGAGGAGGAGGAGGTGGAGGAGGAAGAGGAGAAGAAGGATGAGGAGTACGCGGAGGAGGAGGGGGAGGAGGAGGAGGAGGATACGGAAGATTTTACCCCACGCCAATTTGTCCAAATTATCCCAGTGCGACCCTACCTGGGAGTTGGAGCCCCTAGGAAAGCAGCATCAGTAGTAACAGAAAAGCTAAACTAAAGCTAAGCTAAAGCTAAGCCAAAGCTAAACTAAAGCTAAGCTAAATCCAAGCTGAAGCTGGATAAAGCTAAGCTAAAGCTAAGCTAAAACTGAGCTAAAGCTAAGCTAGAATTAATATAAAGCTAAGCTAAAACTTAGCTAAAGCTAAGCTGAAGCTAAGCTAAAGCTAAGCTAAAGCTAAAGTAAATAGAAGGTAAATATATTGTAAATCTAATGTAAAACTAAGCTAAAGCTAAACTAAAGCTAAGGTGAAGCTAATGCAGATCTCAGGTACAGCTAAGCTGACGCTAAGCTAAATCTAAGCTAAAGCTAAGCTAAAGCTAAAGCTAAGCTGAAGCTAAGCTAAAGCTAAGCTAAAGCTAAGCTAAAGCTAAGCTGAAGCTAAAATGGAGCTAAGCTAAAGCTAAGCCAAAGCTAAGCTAAAGCTAAACTAAAGCTAAACTAACGCTAAACCTAACGCTAAAACTAAAACTCCCAGGGGACTGGGAGAACCGCGGGGCGGATCCTGCCTGGGGGAACCGCCCGGGGCGTGGAACGCTGCCCGGCCCTTGAAGCCAACGCGGTAAGAACCCTTCTAGGTAGAGCCTAGGTAGGGACTAAGTAAGAACCCTTCTAGGCAGAGCCTAGGTAGAGAATGGGCCTGAGCTATGATGAAGTTAAGATGAACTAAGCTCAGCTAATATGAGATAAGCAACGCTAAGCTAAGCTCAGATGAGCTAAGCATGATATCAACTAATATGAGATAAACAAGCTAATATGTGATGAGCTATGCTAAGATAAGCTAAGACGATATAATCAACGCTAATCTATGCTAGGATACGCTAAGCTAAGATGTGATACGCAACTCTAAGCTAAGTTAAGCTGAGCTAAGATGAATAAGCTAAGCTACGATGATATAAGCTAACCTAAGATGAGGTAAGCTAAGCTGGGGGAACCGCGGGGCGGATGCGGGGGGAACCGCTCGGGGCGTGGTCCACTGCCCAGCCCTTTAAGCTTATTGTACAGTAAGAACCCTTCTAGGCAGAGCTTAGGTAGGGGACAAACCGAGCAGAGCCCAGGGGGAGAAGGACGAGGACGCAGCCCCCCCTCTTCTTTCGATCAGGTGCTGTGCTCCTATCGCCACTACCGGGAGTTGTTCGGCTTCCCCGGCGATGCGACGGCCGACCATTCGTTCATGACGGAGCTGCCAGAGAGCGGGCAGAGGATGGTCCGTTTCGCGGAGGAGCTTCAGCGATGACAACGACGGCGGCGACGCCGACAGCGAGAGCGTTTTTGGGGCATGATATCGATCAAATAAGCGGGGGCGGGGGGGGGCTTCACTAGGGCCCCCCTTCGGGGGCGCCTGAGATCGCCTCTTGGGCCGCTCTTAGGGCGCTCTTGGAGCGCCCCTGGGCGCTCTTGGGGCCGTGTTGGGGCTATCTTGGGCCTCTCTTGGGGCCCTCTTGGGTGCTCTTGTAGCCAGCTTGAGGCTTCCGAAGGCCATCGAACGCAAAAGAGCGAGAAGGCACACTCCCACCAAACCTCTGGGCGTAAGTGGTCTAGGGAGGTTCCTCTTCCAACCCCGCCCTCCCCCTTGGGGGAGAGGTTTACCCGCCCCCCATGCCCCCCCCCCCCCCATGCCCCGCCCTGCGAGGTGTCAGAGAGAATTGTTTCACCCAAGATGGCGCCAACAGGGCCTCATAGAGTCCAATATGACCTCCAAGATGGCTCAAGATCACCCATGATGCATCAAATCGGCTGCCAAAATGCTCCAAGAGGCTCCAAGACCACTCAAATGCGGCTCCAAGACGTCAAAACCCCCAATGATGCCCCCAAGAAACCAAAATCCTTCAACAACCGATTTGCTTTATCGCCTTTTCGGGGCCTCAAGATGGCCATCCGGGGCCTCAAGATGGCTCCAACATGACCCACTAGGGCCCCGAGCGAGACCCGAGCAAGCCCCAAGATGGCCCCAAGGTCGCCCAAGAGCTCTCAAAGCGCGCCCGCCAACGCGCCCCAAGAGGCGACGTTTGGTGCTCCCCAGCAGAGGGCAAATTAGGGAACCCCTCTTCTTTGATCGATATCATCCAAGATGGCCCCGAGAGCGTTCCCAAGGCCGCCGAGCGCGCCCAGAGACGGCCTCAAGAGGCGCCCAGACGGCCCCGAGGCGCCCACGATGCCTCCGAGAGGCTCCCAGGAGGTCCCCAATAGGCTTCAGGGGGATCCCCGTGGTACCCAAGACGGTCAAATACGGCCCTGGGCTCGCCAGCCCCTCCTCCTCCTCCTCCTCCTTCTCCTCCTCCATGTCTACTGTCACTTCCTCCTTCCTCCTCTTCGCATTCCTCCTCCTCCTCCTCCTCCTTCTCCCCCACCACCCTTCCCCTCTTGGGGTATCGGACGGCTTCCCCCGCCTTTTTTTTTCTGCATGTTCCCCCACTTCCCTGATCGCCTCAACTCCCCTGGGCATCGTTTCTGGATGGGCTGGCGGGGTTGCCCTTGGGTTTCTGACGAGCTTTGGCCTCCTGGCGGCCTCCCGGGGAAGTTCCGCGGCCACTTGGGGCCGTCTTGGAGTGGTCTTGGGGCCTCTTGGAGCGTCTTGGAAATCATCTTGAGCCATCTTGAACCATCTTGGAGGTCATCGTTGGGTTCTCTGCAGAGGCCATATTGGAGCCATCTTGGGCAATGCTGGACGCTCCAACCCTGCGGCGGTGACAGCGACGACGACGGCAGCGGCGGCGTTTCGTGATCCCCAGAAGCTGCTGTTCGGCATCGATTTCGACGCCCACTTGAAGCAGAGTGTCCGGACGCTGAGGTCGGTGGCTGCGACCGCTGAGGTGAGTCCAATCAAGGATGCCTTGGATCAGATCATCGACATGCGCAACAGTGAGATTGAGGAGCGGCCCAGCGATGGCAGCGCTGGCAGGGGCGATGGCGCAGGTGCCGGCGCCGCGTCCATCGTCATTCCTGAGGATGAGGAGGCGACCGCGCCCGTGAGGCGGCCCGATGGCAGCATCATCGATGATCCAGAGAACAAGTTGGCTGGGTGGAGGACGTATGCGGAACGCAAAGTCCGGGAATGGGTCAAGATGATTGTGTTGCCGTCAACGGAGAACCAGTTGGGCGAGCTGATCAAGGATTGGCAAGCTGGCAAGCATGAGATCAAGGCGGATCTGAACGAACACATGTTGTGCATCTACGACGCCGCCGCGTCTGGAGAGGCAGCCACCCACCCACACATCAGGGTGCCGCCGCTGCGGGTTGACCACTGTCGGCTCGCGATCAGGGGCTGCCTGATAGGTCGTGGCGATCGCGACGTGATCGGCGATCGGGACTTGTACATCTTCCTGGACGGCAGCCGGCACGGCAACGAAGCGCAGATGATCAACAGCCTCTCCAAAGAGAACGGAAAGGCCTGCGACAGGGAGAAGCTCACCTACTACGTCGCCTACGACGAGACGAGCGCCAAGGCGAGGCGCTTCAAGCAGCGCGGCCCGATCATGCAGATGGAGTTCATGCATGTGCTGTCCCGCAGGGGCCTTGACTTGGAAGATCAGAGTCGGTGCCACTTCGAAGGGACAACACGGGGGAATCTGTTCAGCCCTGTGGCGATCCCGCCATGGGAGTCAGCATGGATGGTCACCGAGGACACGAAGCTCCGCATGCTTGGCCCCCACCGCTCCCCTGTTGGGGGCCCGACCGACAACGCAGACCAGCCCCCCAAGTACGGCCCCGCCATGAACATGATGCCTGTCAACTGGCACTTCAGGTCCGTGGCGTTCTGGGAAGAAATCCTCCATTCGTTCAAGGCAAAGCGTGCCATCCTGACGACCACCTTGGACGAGAATTTCGCTGTTGCCTGCCTCAAGAAGAAGGTCCCGTGCTGCCTCGTCTGCTTCACGTCCGACCAACAGGAGATGCTGGGGCGTCGCCTCACGCACCGCGTGTTTGCCCTGTTCCAGGAGGAAGGAGACCTCTACGAACCAGGCTTGGCAAGTCTCACAGCCAAGAAGCAGCGTGCCAAGCCGAAGCGGAAGGCCACCGGGAAGGATGATGATGAGGACGACGTGGGCGGTGACAACCCCGCCAGCAGCGGCGTCGACGGCAACGGCGGGGGCCCACCCACGAAGAAGAAGAAGACGGCCAACCCCGCCAAGTCAGGCAAGACGGCCAAGGGCAAGGACGGCAACAACAAGGAGAAGGGCATGACCGCCGACGAGCGCAAGAAGCTCCTGGCGAAGCTCCAGCAGGCTGGCCAGGGCGACGAGGGCGAGGAGGACCTGCCCGAGGAGGACGACGAGGACGGCGACATGGACCTGGATGAGGACGAGCCGGAGGACGAGGATGAGGATCAGCAGCAATCCTGAGCAGCACGTCTAGATTTGATGAAATTGTGTGATCCGCTGACGCGGATGTTTTTTGGCGCCTATGGATGGCGACATCCCCCCCTTGCCTCCTGTTCTGTCTCTCCCCTCTCTCCCCTTGCCCTCCTCCTCATCCCCGTCGCACCGTTCACGCTATCCGCATTTACTGCCCTCTTGTCCCTCCTCGCCTGTCTCCGGCCTCAACGTTTATAGCTTCCCTCCTGTTCAACGCTCATCCTCACTCCCTCACTCTTATCCTAGTAATTCCTCCTCCACTCGAGCCTGCCCTCCTCAGTCCTCACGTTGCTCGCGTCCCGCCCGCTGCGAGAATCGGCGCTCTGTGTGCGCCGCTGTGCGAGCTCCAGACTGCCCTGCTGAGTGGGTCCCCGACCCATCAAAGCCACCCTTCGGGTGATAAGGAGGTTCGGGGGGGCGAATCACAGTC